CACACACACACACACACACACACACACGTGCGCGCGCACACAAATGCGCACACACACACACACACACACACACACACAAACGCGCGCGCATACACTCAAACACACACACACACACACTCTCTCTCACACACACACACACACGCAACCCCAGGCCGGCTACTTTGACGACCCCCCCTCCCTCCCTGGGCTGGCCCACTTCCTAGAGCACGCCGTGCACCTGGGCTCAGAGGCATACCCGGATGAGAAGGAATACAAAGCCTTCCTGGCGCAGCACGGCGGCAGCAGCAACGCGTCCACCAGTGAGTCGCGCAGGGTCGCAATCGCATCGGCAGCGGGGCCAGCGGTGGCAGCACGACAAGCAGCGGCGGCGCGCCGGCGATTGCGCAGGGCACGCCGTGGGCAGAGAGCGGACCCCTGATCGACATAGAGTCCCCAGCGCGTATCGGTCAGCTCCACGCGTCTTCATGCGTTGCGCCTGCCACGCCCAGCCGCCACGGAGCAGCTGGTTTGAAGCACACCTATTTGTTCCCCCTTCACACACACACACACACACACATCTTATACAACCATCATGACCCGCGCTTGCCTGCCCTGCTGCGCCTGGCTTCCCCAGACATGGTGCACACGCAGTACCACCTGCGCGTCGCCGCCCACCACCTAGATGGCGCGCTGTCGCGCCTCGGCGCCATGCTGGCCGCGCCGCTGATCTGCCCGGAGGCCGCGGCGCGCGAGGTGGAGAACGTGCACTCAGAGTACTCGCGGAATTGCAACAGCGACTCGCGGAAGCTGCTGCAGCTGCGGCGCTCGCTGGGGCGGCCACCATTCAGGTGAGTGCAAAATGCGTGTGCATGTGTGTGCATGTGTGTGCATGCGTCTGCATGTATGTGCATGCGTGTGCACAACGGAATACGTGTGCTCGTGTTTGTATGTTGGCAACGCAATGTTGGCTGGGTAGTGGGGTTGCACCAGGTGCTCGGCACGCAGTTGCCCTCGTTCCAAGCCGGGACACTTTCCCAATCACTTCCTGCCGGTTGGGCTTTCTACTCTCGCACATTCTCCAACAAACGCCCCCTACCCTGCTCATCGTTCCCCCACGCACCCCACACACCAACCCCCGCAGGCAGTTCTCGACCGGCTCGATTGCCACCCTCCGCGATGCACCCGCCGAGGCCGGCGTCGACGTCGCCGCAGAAATGCGCGCCCTCTGGCGCCGCGCCTACCTGGCGCCCGCGACCACCGTCGCCGTCGTGGGCCCCCAGGCGCCCTCAGACCTTGAGGGCTTCGTACGGGAGGCCTTCGGCGCGATGGACGCCTCCCGCGGCGGCTGCGGCGCGGAGGGCGGGGCCGGCGCGGATGGCGGGCAGGGCAGCGGGCGGTATGGGGTGCTGGATGTGTATGGGGAGGAGCAGCGGGGCGCGCTGCTGAGGGTGGCCCCGATGAGGGACCTGCGGTCGCTGGAGCTCAGCTGGTTCGTGCCATATGGCGCGCTGGCGCACCCGGAAAGCAAGCCCTGGCGGGCAGTGGGGCACGCGCTGGTGGGTGGCGCCGCCTCAGGGGCGGCGGACGGGGGCGGCTTGATTCACAGGGTGGGGCGCCGCGGCGGGAGGGCGGCGGCGGGTCAGCGCGAGAGGCGCCCAGCCCGGTGCGCGTCTGCGCCGCCGTCTGGTGATCATCCCTGGCGGCATGCACCTGGCATGCACTCGCAGGCACCCATGATAGGAGACACTAACCCTTTCTCCTTTGGAATGCCCCCCCCCCTCCAGGGCCACGAGTCCTATGGCAGCGCCGCCCATCTGCTGAAGCGACAGGGCCTCATCCAGGTGCGTGGGCAGGCTCCAGCAAAGCCCCGACCCCCACCCCTTGCCCCCTGGCACATTGCACAATAGCGACACTCTGCAAACGCCTGCAAAACGCACGCCGGCATGCCACCACCCCAGCCGCTTGTAAGTACTGTACAGCATCCCGCTCCATTCAATCAGTGCTGGGCTTGCTGCATGCCGCTCCTGCATGCACCTCGAGCCGCGAACGCGCCCCGGCGGGGCTCGCAATTGCGTGCCCTGCGCCGCAGTCCCTGTCGGCGGGCATGGGGGAGGAGGTGCGGCTGGGACGCGGCTTCATGTTTTGGCGCATCGACGTGCAGCTGACAGAGGAGGGGGAGACCCACGTGCCGCACGTGCTGGGGACCATTGCACGCGCCATACAGGTGGGTGCATGCGCGCGGGTTCGTCTGTGTGTTTGTGTGTCCGTGTGTGCATGTGCCTGCATGTTCAGAAGAACAGAGAGGAGGGGAGGGGAAGAGGTGGGAAAGAGGGAGGGGAGAGAGACAGAGAGAGTGTGTGTGTGTGCGCGCGTGTGGAT